TAATGTTGTATATTGATGCTGAGGTTTTGTTGGGGCTTTTAACTGACCGGAACTTTACTCTGTTAGCTCTACCTTCAGACCAGTGAAGGTCTCCCCAAGAGGCCACTAAACTTATCTCGACAATAAGACACTGGACTTTATGCTAGGTATATGCTTGCAATGAAGGAATCTCAACTGAACTTGATCTGTGGTTATGCAGCAAGGTGGAGGAATCCACTATGAGGGGAGGGGTATGGGAGGGGTGGGGGGAATCCCCAGTGCCTATAAAACTGTATCACATAATACAATGTTAATAACAATTAAAAAAAAAAAAGGAAAAAAAAAAAAGAAAAGTACACTCTTCTCCAGAAAAAAAAAATAGTTTTTTGTTGATTTTATTCTAAAGTGAGATCATCTTTGGCAAAGTCCATATTGATGAACCATCTTTGTCAGCTAAGAAATGATTAGGAACCCATATTTTAACTTTAAAATTGTCTGGGCCCGGCGTGGTAGCCTAGCACCTAAAGTCCTTGCCTTGCATGCCTCAGCATCCCTTATTGGCACTGGTTCATTCACTGGCCGCCCTGCTTCCCATTCAGCTCCCTGGATGTGGCCTGGGAAAATGTTTGAGGACGGCCCCAAAGCTGGGACCCTGCCCCTGTGTGAGAGACCAGGAAGAGGCTATGGGCTCCCGGCTTCAGATAGGCTCAGCTTCAGCTTTGGCGGCCACTTGGAAAGTGAATCAAAGGACAGAAGATTTTCCTGTCTGTCTTTTCTCTGACATTCCAATATATAACCACATGGGTTATTTTACTACATATATGAGTATAATCAAAGTTTTGCGTGGAACATCAACTCTTAAGATACAGAAGATCTTTTGAAGAAATGTTCACAAGTTGGAATTCTTTATTAATCAAGTTAGCAGAGACGAGGTTGAAGAAAGCCAGGAATTACCTTGCTAGGGAGTTGTTAGTATTTCAGTCACACTAAAGAGAAATGAAATATTCAGTTATTTACTCTTTCAGAATGTTTAAAGAAGTGTTTGTAGGTCTTAGCAATGTTTGGAGTGAGATCCTTTGATAGGGATAAAATTCCTTTGTTTTGCTTGCTCCGCACCACGTGTCAGCTGGATCTTTCCAAACAAAAGGATTTCATCCAAGTCTTTTCAAAGATATGAATTTCAGCTGAACTGCACAGTGGCCTTCTCAGGTGTGTCCAGATACAGCTTTGGATAGCTGGTCCTTTTGCACAGTGCTTTATTTTCTAGTCCTGATTACAGAGATTCTGACACAGCTTCCTGCTATAATGCTTTTGTTTGAGAAAAATAAACATTTTGTTAAAGTTGTATAACTATAGAACTTACTTTTCATGGATGTTTATAGTGGCTGAGGTAAAAAATGGGAGCATATCTGCAATCATGTCCACATTTCATGTAATTGATGATATACCTAGTTTTCAAGTTTAAGCGTGTATTTCCATATTATCTTTAATTTTATGATGTGTTTTAAGAAATTTCGAATAATCACAGTAATTTCGGGCTACAAATATAAACTAACCATGTTTCTAAGTTTAAAAATTTTCTTAAAAAGCAATGTTTATGGCGGTATGATTATAATCCATTGTATTATGATCAACTTGTTCTTTTGTTTTTATTGGTGAATAATTGGGACGAGCAGGTTAGTTACAAAACACATGCATATTTTGTAGGGCTTTTTATATTGATACAACATGTTAAATTTCATTTTATATCAAAATTATAAACACAGAAATAATTTAACTTTTTAAATTTCTTAAGAAAGTACTTATAGATCTTCTCCCTAATTTTTGGGTTGAGTTTTAACATTTTTTTTCTTTTATCATTTTTAACCACAAATGGCAGAAAGCAGTTCCAAATCTAAATTTGTTTAACCATAATAATGACATTTTCCAACTGTCTCATAAATTTGCAACATTTGTTAAAAGGGAGCCTAGTAGAGAAAAATGTGTCACTAGTGCTGAAGAAAATGAGCCTGTGGCCTGTGGCAATTAGTGCCATCTTCAGAGATAAAATATGCGCTTGAAATTTTGTGTAATAATTGTGCCAATTAGCAGTTATTGAGTGCTCACATTGTGCCAGCCTTTGGGCAATTTTTTTTTTTTTTAGCAGTTCGAGTGCATTATCTAAAGAGTTTAAACTTTTTGATGCTATTGTTATCTCTATTTTCTAGAGCAAAACAATCAGTGTTTGAAAGATTCAGGTCATTTGACTGTGACCTCCTAGCTTGTGAGTAGAAAAGATGGGATTCCAAACAGATCCACTAGGGTGTAGGCATCAGCGTGGGCACCGTCATTGTCCCCATTCTGCAAATGAGAAAAATCCAAGCTCAGGGAAGCATAAAGAATTTGGCAAGCTGAAATAATGCAGAAGTGGAGAAATTGATATTCAAACACAAATCCTTCTTACTCCAGATTCTGTTATTGCATGCCATTATTTATACTAAATTTTAGCACAAGGTGCATGCATTTTGGTAAAATTTCCTTTGTTCTCACATAGGGAAGTCAGAGTTCAGGAAGAAATGATCCTGATGCTAATTGGCCAAAAGAAAAGCAATTGTTGAGGATGAGGTGGAAAGTCAGAAATTAATAGCAAAGATAATTGTACTTTGCATCAGACTTAAGCAAGCAAGCTTGGAAGCGGTTTTTCTCTTCCCAAGTGTTTCACATAAGGGCATTTGATTAGTGCCCTAAAGTCAGAAGTGGAGACAAACTTTGTTGGTGAGAGTCAGCTAACTAGGCCCTCACTAAGATAATTGGAAAAAATTCCTTTGTCTAAGTCCCTGACTGTATCCTTTACTGTGACACTAGGTGCACGTATTGTGTTATATCTTCCTTTATGAACCATTATGTTAAGGTCTTGAGCATTAACGATAATTTTCCTATAATCGAAAAACTATAGTTGACATTAGATTCCTTAAAAGCAATAGAAGCTCAGAGCTCAGAAGGCAATCTGAAATCATCAGAAGTACTTTCACATTGTATAAGTAGATTTTTAAATATTGAATAAAATGTTACATTGATATTTCTTTACTATGAATGTGGGAGTTGGAATCAGTTGAAGTGTCAAAATAGTAGAGTAACTCTCAGGGAATCTGTAATATTTGCCAAAGATAGTGAATATGATGTATTTATTGATTTGCATTACAACTTGTAGCAATGAGTGTTCACTTTGGTTTTTGGAACTTTTAGTTTTAGGTGTAGGTAAATGGCAGATTGAGGAAACAGATTCTTCTCTTTTTTTAAAAAATCGTTTGATCACGTGAGGTGCCATTCATAAGCAGAAGTGAACTATTGCGAATGAATAAATTTATGAATCTAAATTTTAGTAAACTGTGTTGGAATGCAGAGTAGAACTTAAAAGTTTCTAAAAGCTACATATACACTATAGGAGAGGTAGATTGTACATTATGCGTTTGGGTGTGCATGTGCATGTGTGTATATGTTTCATACAAAGACAAAAAGCTTCATGTTTTTTTATGCTTGGTATATCATCCATTTGAAATCACATTGTTTGCATTTTATATAGCTGAATTATTCGGAGTAATTAAGCACTTCTTTTGAGAGAGGTGCCAACCACATTCTCTTTGCTAACAGCTATATTCGTAATAATAGTATTTTGGATTTTTTATTAAAGCATATCATGTCTAACTTATTATCACGTTAACTTTTTACTTTGGATATATATTTTTTGGCATGAATTGATTACTCCTAAAAATATATCATTTAAGAACTGCAGCCGTTCATCATTGATGGCTACGTTTCCGGTCCGCCACACTGTCATGCATGTGCTCCCCGTTGAGTAACTAACAGGAAAAGCCCAAGGTTGTGCTGTAGATGCTCGTTTCAGAAACACTGTCACTGGTGTGTAAACAGGTGTTAAACATACACCCGTCATCACGTGTTCGTTAGTATTCCTTCACCATTTGGAAGAGAAATTTTTAAACGATGAGTCACAGTCTTACTCCTATGCCCGTTTTACATTAAAAGATTAGTAGTTAACATTTTAAATTAATGTCAGTGAATTTTTAAAAATTTTCTAGAAAAAATGGAAGCCATTTATTGTGTTCACGGATTGTGCCTTTATTCAATGATATGATTTTTCTTCTCATTTCAAGATGATTTAATTATAATTCTCATCCTTTTAGTATTTGATAATAATTAGACTAACTATATGGAATCAAAGGGACAAAGTTTGCGATATCCAGTTCAGGTCATCATTTCTTTTCTTATTGTAGCTTAATGATTATTATAATTACGAGGAAAGGCAGAAGTTAGGTTGGTAGTTAGCTAAGGCTTACTACTTTGTTGGTTTAACTGGGTAAAGCCCAGAATTAGTCACTGGGAGAAAGCAATGCTCGCAAATGCTTTAGAAAATCTTTGTACAACATTTCTGTAACTTACTTATCATTCCTCATTTTAACTAATGAACACCACGGCTTTGAATGAAATTATAAATATTGCCAATACCAATCCCTCTGGTTCTGCAGCAATTGACAGCATCTTGATGACTTACAAAACTTGGCCTTGCAGGAGTAGGATCCTTTAATCTCTATTACTGCATTTTGACAGCTTTTCATTATCTTTTCTTAAACATTTCTACTGTTATTTTCTTTCTCCTAAGACAAAAGCCCGAGTTATTTTCAGTGGAGAACCTGGCATAGCCATCATCATAATAGCACTTTTTATTTAAGTAGCACCTTTCACCTGAGGTTTTTAAAGTGCTTTTGAGTGCCTTTCACTGGGCCTGTGGGATGGAAGTCAGGCGAAAAATTATTCGTAGTCATTCCACGTGTAAGGCCTCTGTGGAAATATGATCCAGACCATGGGGAGAAAGTAATTTTTATCTTTAGTACTCTAGATAGGGATATGGGTATAAAATGATTCCTGAGTTTCAGTGCCATTTGTTCACAAATGGAACTAGATATTGTTGAATTCAATGTGCTTTTAATCCTATTTTAAACCAAACCATTTTTAACCCCCTCCAGCAACTGCTTCGAGAACGACAGCAGATGGCCAGCCGTCCTTTTGCTTCCGTTGATGTAGCGCTGGAAGTCGGAGCTGAACAAACTGACTTTCCACGAGGGCCATTAGAGGTAGGAACAGGGGTGCTGGAAGGGGACCACTGTGATTTGCATATTTAGATTGCCTCTCTAATCTGCATCTGCTTGTGAAGCCACATAGAGTCTGATTATCTTAGTTGACAAGACTCAGCTACATCTGGTATGCCATTTTCAAGGCACATAGATTTAGTAGTGACATGAGCTGTAACAAAAGCCACTGGAGAATCTATTAGTCTAGTCAGTATGACAGACTGCTCACCTGGAAGCCATTCCCTGACAGATACAAACTGAAGGTTTGAAGATATAGTTAAGAAAGGATAAATAAAGTGGCTATATTTGGTCCTTGGAGTACCCAGTGTTCCCTAATTAACAATTCACATCGCTCACAAAGTTTGCTGTATAAGGTGGGTAGGGTCGTAATTAAATCACGTAGTTCTGTTTTTAAATGTTAAGTGTGAAACATTGCTTGTGGAAACTAGCTATATTATTGTACTCTTTTATTGAAAATACAGAAATGATGTGCAAGTTCATATAGTGTTGGAATCTTGAACTAATACAAGAATTAGATTCTGAGAATAATAACCTCCAAAGAGGGAAAAGGTGCAGGTTTTGATTACTTACTAATCCAAGCACTTTGAAGTATACTAGTGTGATTGTATTCTTATTCTTCATGTTTTATATGTGATATTGTGTGTGAGTAGGAAGATTAAGAAACTGCAAAGTTGAAAACATGACTTTATTTGACCAATTTCATGTTGTCCTTTTTAGATTTTGATTTTTTTTCAGTATAGAAGCCTCTACAAACCTAAGTATGAATATATTAGATTATGACTGAAGATTTTTTTAGTCGGGAAAAAAGAACTAATGCACACCCATATATCATATAAACACCTGTTTTGTGTATTTGATGGTTTTTACTGTTCTAGGTTACAGGTTGCCATGGAGGCTTAAACCACTATGGAGTTAATATGTGTGTTTTCCATTGCCTTTGTGAAGTTGCAGTGGATGCTGTAGTTTCATTTAGGCCCTTTGTTCCAAAGAACTTAAATACAAAAACCTTTAACAAACACCAAGCCTGGATCATTTAAATTCAAATTATTTTTCTCCCCATTTGCTTGAAACGGTTTCAAATACTGCTGAGTGGAAGTAATCCAAAAATGTATGAAGCTTCATGGAAGTACCATGCATAAAAGGGCACCTCAAAAAAATCACGGAAAAGTAGAATTAGTTTATTTTGCAGCAATGTTTTTTTGAAATTTATCCCGTTTGTTTCATAGCACACATTTTCCATGACACTTCATACAGCACACCAGAGTCTCTCACTTGTTCCTTAATAGTGTTCAAGAATAAATGCTTCTTATATACGCTCTGTGAGTTGCCGAGGATGCCTCGGATCCGTTCGCCTCCCAGGCTCTTCCCTGTTCTTTCTCTAAGTCAGAGCGGGAAGACACAGACAACCCTTTGTGGTTTGATTCTCGGCTGGCTCAGGACTGCTTTTGCATTAGGGGTGATGTATGGGGTTCCTGTTACTGTCCTTGCTTTTAATGTCACTGTTATTGTTTTTGAATGACCAACATGTCTCTGCTTCCTTTTTGTCACGCATTTTCAGAAATCAGGATGTTAAAGAGAATATATAATCACCTATGAACCTATGAACCCTTTTTGCCTGGAAATGAGTTCTAGTATCAATGTATGGTGTTGTTTTTTCTCAGAAAGAGCTTTATTGACATATAATAGTTATGCCATATAGTTGGCCACATAAGCATGCAAGTCCATGTATTTTGCGATATAGAAAGATGTGTTGCTGTCAGCCTGGTCTGTTATTAAGCATATCACTCCTTAGAGAAAGTGCATCTCGCAGTTAACCCTTTCTGCCATCGTCCTTGTACCTTTCCTCCCCTTAGACCTAGGCAAGCACTCTTCTGCTTTGTGTCCTTATTGGTCTTCTTACTGTGGACATTTCATACGAATGGAATCATATAATTTGAGATTATGAGTGTTTGTTTATATTCCCTTTGTGGTGTAACCAGAGAATACAGTTCCAGGAATATATGATAACTTCCCATCACCTGTTGAAAACAACTTCTTTCTTAAGGAAAATAGTTTAAGGGGAACAGATGAAAGCACTTCTACAGTGTATTAGTTCCTACAGTGTATTAGGGTATTTTTTTTCTGCATATGCTAGCCAGCACTGTAACTTTTTAAATTTATGGATGATAAATGTTCTTACTGGGATGAGGTGAAACTTCATTATGATTTTATTTGCATTTCCATTTTGGCTAATAATCTTGAGCATATTTTGATATGTCTGTTGGCCATTAGTATTTCATTCTTTGAGAAATACCTGTTCATATATCTATAGTACATCTATTACATCATTATAATGCTTTTGGGTATATATGAATGCTTTTGGGTTTTTTATTAATTGCGTAACCTGCAACTTTATTAGTTCTGTTTTGATCTTCAAAATTCTTTTAGTGGATTCTTTTTGTCTCCTTATATATAAGTTCATAACAACACCAAATAGGGATAATTTTACATCCTCCTTTGCCATTTGTATCAACTTGATACTTGATTTGATTCTTTTTACTTTTGTGTATCTCTTATAATATCTCTTCAATTTTTATTTTATTTCTTAGTAAAGATTTATTCATTTATTTTGAATATCAGAGGAACAGAGAGAAAGAGAGTAGAAAGAGAGATCCTACATCCATGCATTTATCTCCAGGACGTCCAGTGCTGGGCCAGGCTAAAGCCAGGAGCTACTTCCTTGCCTCTTTTGTGGTTGGCAGGGGCTCAAACACTTTAGCCATCCTCTACTGCTGTGCCTAGGCCACTGGAGGAGATCTGATTGGAAGTGGAACAGCCAACATGAAAATCAGTACACTTAGGAATGCCAACATTGTCAGCTTTACCCATTATAGCGCCACAAAGCGAGCCCCCTCAAACTGCCCTACCCCCCCACCAAAAAAAGTGCTTTTCATTTCACTGATTACTTAATTTAAAACAATAATGTTTCCTGATTTTCATTATTTATATTTTTTCTTTTTCTTATTTAGTTATAGTTCCAGGCTTGGTTTTTGATTTTCTAGGTCTGTAGTGCTGAAGCTTTCCCTGATTTTTCTGCTATGATTTTGGTTAACTTTCTCAAAGCACTTTCCTAATAAGCAGATATTATCATTCTTTTCCCATCCAGGAAAACCCACAAATGTCTGTGTTTAAAATAGAAAAGTATTGCTGTGACCTCCTTTGGCTAACCTGCTTTTATTTTGCCTGGATCACTGATACTATTGCTGACTTAGACTGTGACATTGCTTGGATTGTACATTGTCTCTAAAATCCTATTGGTAAACCTACGTGTTTCTCCTGTTAGAACTTTGAAGACATAGGTTCTTGATCCCACTTATTTCAAATTCCTGTTGGGAATCCTGTTCTTGTTGGCAGTGGACCTAGTTAGCAATAATTGGCGTCCATCAAACAAAAAATTTCTGTAACTTTAAATTTTCAGTTATGATTGAGTGCCCTGTATCAGTTAAGTCACCCTTGTTGTTAGCTCTTCTTGCTAGTCATTGTCAGTTCTCTTCAGTAATTATGTGAACAGAATTGATTGTTGTTGTTTTTCCTTAAAAATTGACGTGGACAATGTGCTGTTTATAAACTGACGAGTGTTTGGGGAGTTGTCACCAAACCAAAAGCTTTTGTAAAATTGCATCATTCGTTCTACCAAGCTGTAGCATAAATTTGCTGTTTGTTCTTGTATTAATTCTAAAAGAATTTCTGCTACTCCGGAAAGGACTTGTTTCAAACCATTGTCTTTTCTTTCTTTGTGTTTCAAACTAGATCCCATTCAAATCCATTATAACAAGCTAGCATTAACTTATTGTTGTGTAAGAATGTGAAAAATCTATGCATAATGTCTCCTTAATATGCATTTTCTTTGTACATACTCACAAATGTATTCTTATACGGGCATATAGCCTTAAAATGCAACTTTTTGCTTATCAACAAATGTTAATTTTTAGGATAATTAAGCAGAAAGCATGTATATAGAAATAGAATGATAGTACACTGTAATTCATAGTCATTAAAAACAGAGAATTTAGGATTCATCCCCTGTTGTATACAGTAATTAAGCATATAGTTTAGAGTATGTAAATAAAAAAATGCTATGTGAAAAGCAAGACCATACATGTACCATTTTATTTTTCTTTTCAAAATTAAATATGCTAACAAATCACCAAAAGCATTACTTCAATGAATAAAATATAGAGTTCGATAAGTACTTAGAATAAAATTAAGATATGCATATTCTTACGTACTTAGTCTTACAAATAACTTACTATATTATAAAATCCTTTTCATGATCACAAGATTAAAGCAAATCAAGAACAGCCTAAAATAGTAATGGCTCTGTTTTCCTTCTTAGACAATTTTTTTAAGACATTTTTACTGGAAAGGCAGATCAGATTTACAGAGAGAAAGATCTTCCATCCACTGGTTCACTCTCCAAATGGTCACAATTGCCAGAGCTGAGCCAATCTGAAGCAAGGAGTTTCTTCCAGTTTCCCACACAGGTTCCCATGTGGGCATAGGGTCTCAGGGCTTTAGGCCATGCTCGGCTGCTTTCCCAAGCTACAAGCAGGGAGCTGGATGGGAAGTGGAGCAAAGGGGACATGAACCAAGGCCCATGTGGGGTCCTGGCACATTCAAGGTAAGAATTTAGCTACTGAGTCATTGTATCAGCCCCTTAGACACTTTTTAAAATAAATTTTCAAAGTAAACATTTGTTATTTATACAAACATGAATAACTAACTGAATGAAGAAGATATTATTCAAGGCATTATGATGTATAGATATCAGTAAGACACGGTTTGGTCCTTAAAATACCTTATTGAATAATTTAATAGACCAAGGTAAGATTATAATGTTCGTAGGGAATTAGTGAGTGGAAAAAAGGAAAACTAGGATAATTCAGAATGACTTATTGTAAGAGTTGGCATCTTATTATAATTCTAATGAGTGGATAGATGGG